GTACGACCTCTTCCCATGCTCCCAGGATGTAGGTGTGCATTCCAGTGTGGAATACACACCAAGCCTTTGCAGCCTGCTAAAGATCACACATCCTATCACTACACAATTGATTATACACCTCTAAGCATATATGGTTAAATATTTCTAAGCATAAATGACAATCAACAATACAAAACCTAACAACCTACAGAAGGAACTGAGCTCCAGTTTGTCGCTGCTCTCGCTGCAAACAGAACACAGTAACATGTATGAAATATTAACATGTACAAAAATATATTTGCATATAACATATTTCCATCATGACCTCTGTACTAACAGAGCATCTGTGGAGGCGGAGCTCCAGTTGTAGTGAGAGAAATTCTACGGTTTAGATTGGATTTTACTAATTAGCAGTATGTGTGGATGCAGACTGATAGTCAGTCTAACTAGCATTAGGCACTCGCGACCAATTAAGGTCACTTCCTGAAACAAATAATGGAGATTAAGTATCGGAATTTCAGGAGTGTGACCCCGCCTCCAAACACGCCCCTTCTGATTCTCATCTCTATATGTTCCCCCACTTCTGCAAGCTGTTTATTCTCATTTACGAGCCCCACCCTCCCTTTTCAATTCTCCAACTTCTTCACTTCTGTGTAGTACACAGTTTCTGCCTGGCCCCTTCGAGGCCTTCCCCAAACCGCAGCTCAGCTCATGTCTAAGCTTTTACCTACTAAAACGCTGTCAAACATAAAATGAGGGCGTGGACCCAGCATGTGAAATAAATGAATTAATAACACAGTGCTTCAAAATACTAGAAGCTTCAAAATGAACCCACAAACAGAAATGTCCTTCTGTTATTTATAATAAAGTCATGATTTTATTTGTGTCATATTTATCTATTGATGGATGCTGTCACGAGTTTTTGTGTTTCAAACGTTGTAACTATGTTCTTATTGTTGTTCATGGTTTTGGCTTTCTTTAGTGATTGTTCCTCCCTTAGTATTTACCTCAGCAGTGTATACTCTGTGATTTTCCATGTCCCACGTTTCATGTCTCCCCACTCATTGTGTAAGCTGTGTGTCCTGAGTCTGTGTGTTTCCTGTTTTATTTTGATAGTTCCTGTCCTGTGTGCAGTGTATCTAGTTTTGGTTCCCCCTGTCTCGTTAGGTCTGATGTGTCCCAGCCAGGCCCGGCCCTAACCAATCTGGCGCCCTA